AGGCTTATGGATGCAGTGGGAGCGTTTCTTAATGGTATACCACTTGAAGTCTTGTACATTAAAATACCTCAAGGCTACATTCCTAAACTTACCGGCAAGAACATTGTACTTCTCCTGAATCGTTCATTATATGGTCTCAAGCAATCGCCTCGCTGTTGGTATCTCATGGTCAAATCTTTCTTTTTATCTATCAAGTTCTCTCCGTCTAAATCAGATCCTTGTTTATTCATTTCCGATGATCCATCCTGGCGTTGCTTTGTGCATATACATGTCGATGATATGCTCGTCATGGGTAACAACACTGAAAGGTTCTCAAAACTTATTCAAACTCGCTTCAAAATGGAGGATCTCGGCGACTGTTCCTTTTATTTAGGGATGCGGTTAGAACGTGATAGAGTTGCTCGTACGGTTACACTCACTCAAGACAAATACATCCTTGGTATGTTAGAAGAATATGGGATGAAAGATTGTCATCCGGTCACGACTCCTATGATTCCTGGAACTTATCTTTCTCCAGCTTCTGACGAAGAACACAAGCAATTTCTCGCAACTGGCATCAACTACAACAGAGCTGTTGGTTTACTTAATTATCTCGTATTGTGCACTCGACCTGATTTAGCATTCACCTCAAGTCAATTAGCTCAACATCTGAAGAAACCAGGTCCAGAACACTGGGCTGCCTTCAAGCGTGTTCTTTGTTATCTTCAGGGTACCTATCAAGATGGTTTGGTTTTGGGGGGTGGGTCATCTATCTTACAAGTTTATGCTGACTCAGATTATGCCGGATGTCCAACAACTCGACGGTCGACCTCAGGTTATATTTCGAAAATAGGTAATGGCTGTGTTAGCTGGCGTTCTAGGAAGCAACCTTCTGTTTCAACACCATCCACCGAAGCTGAATATAGAGCTGCATATGAGGCTGCTCAGGAAACAGTCTTTTTACAAAGAATTATGAATGACTTAGGATGTCCTCAAGAAGGTGGAACTACGTTTTTATGTGACAATCAAAGCTCCCTTGCCTTACAGAAGAATCCGCTTTTCAAAGACCGATCAAAACATTTTCAAGTTCATTTCCACTGGATCAGAGAGCAAGTTGATGCTGGTCTTATTACTCCAACATACATTCCTACTAAAGAAATGCTGGCGGATGTGTGCACTAAGGCGCTTCCTTGACCTCAACATGAATATCTTACAAGATTAATTAGATCATAGAATGTTAACATTGAGGGGGGGTATTGAAGTAGTTATTTTCTCTGTTTTATTTACACTGCTAACATCCTATTTTATATTCCGCTTTGAGCCTACATAGTCTGTTCCAAGTTGTTCCGTTACCATTCCATGTTAGAACTCCGTATCCTTTCATCCCAATGCGGCGAATGATACTCACAATCACTATCATTTAGCAAACCTATGTCTAGAAAGATTTCTCACTATAAAGAACAGTTGTTTGCGTGTTTACTTTATTTTTCTTCACTCAAACTTCTTTTCTCTTTACGTGTGCCACCTTACAACAGGTGCTTATCTTTCTGCTCACTTATTAGTGACTCCAGCCACTGCGCTTTCCTTCATCACTAATAACGTGATTCTTTACCAGGTCTGCTTACTGTTCTATGTTATCACTGATTGTAGTTCGTGCTCATGGGAATGTTATACTCAAACTTCTTTTCTCTTTGCGTGTGCCACCTTACAACAGGTGCTTATCTTTCTGCTCACTTATTAGTGACTCCAGCCACTGCGCTTTCCTTCATCACTAATAACGTGATTCTTTACCAGTCACCTGGCTTTCCTACTTTATTACATTCCTTAGCAAAGAAGCCTGAGGGAGGGCTGTGCCATCTGCTCACTATATCTCAGCCCCTTAACTGATTGTCAGTGGCATGCCTTGGAGCCTGTTGATCTGGGAATTTGGACATATGAGTATGTGGTGACTCATGAACTGATTCTGAGTTCTCATCTGAGAGACTGAGCTCAAAGAATGCTCATCCAAGATGGAAATGAGCATTCTCCAACAATGTACAGCAAAATTTGAGCACAGCAACCTGAACACCTGAGCACTACCAAAATCCTCAATTGAAGGAGCCTAAAAGAGAAACAATCTTTTTTGGAAAATTCAGGAAAGTGTACATCCTGCAGAGGACTGCAACAGTGCTGTGGTTGTGCTGTGGTCAAAGTGACCTGAACCATCCCGGTGGTATAGCCAGGCCACCACCGTGGGTTCACTACAGTTTCACTGGGCCTCAATTGCAGTGAGGAGACCGCAGGGATAACCCAATTTGACATATGTTTGTCTTATTATTACAAGTCCTTTTCTGCTTATTTCACTTGATATCAATTTAATATGCTTTTTTTTACCAATATATATGTCCCAGGTACCATCTTGTGTTCTCTTTTTAGGCATTTTGCTGAGCCTGCGACCTGCTGCAATTCCACTTGCTGCAACAGTGGCTGACGGAGCGTGGCAATTTTTCCAGCTGTGCCATCTTTGCAATCACATTTTATTCACTGTAACAAAACTGCAATGAGTTTTCATGATGCTGCGGTGAATTTCTGCACTATTATTGTGAAGGCAGTGTGGTGGTGCGCTGCACAGCATTTGTATGTTGCTGCAAGGCATAACAGTGTTGAAGTTATTATGTGTGCTACTCAACTATGTCACAAATCTCCTATGTCATCATAGTTATATTTCATCTCTTTCATCACATGTCACATGTTTGTTTCATTTATATACCTGAGCAGCTGATGGATGGATTGTTCTTCACCTATTCAATCCATCCATCTTAGGTACAGACCATTCTCTCATAGACCTTGAGTCTATTTGGTACTGACCATAGCTGTTCAGGTTTGTAGTCTCTTCTGTTCTTCTTTTTCTTTTTGTTTTTGTTTCACTTCAACTTCATATAGAACTAACACTGCAAAAATAATGTATTTTTCCAAGGTGAAAAATCTCATAGACCTTGAGTCTATTTGGTACTGACCATAGCTGTTCAGGTTTGTAGTCTCTTCTGTTCTTCTTTTTCTTTTTGTTTTTGTTTCACTTCAACTTCATATAGAACTAATTACATCAAGTTGTAAATGAAACCATCTATTCAATCCATCCATCTTAGGTACAGACCATTCTCTCATAGACCTTGAGTCTATTTGGTACTGACCATAGCTGTTCAGATTGATTTGCTTTACAGCAACAGACAGTTCTCATCTACAGAATCTTAATAAGTAGATGAATGCAAGATAATTGTGTATACAGAAGCACATGCAGTCCCAACACCTTGGTATGCGCTTTGAAATCCTTGAGGGGTTAGGGTTCTCATGGTATTTTTGTCACATGGGTTGATTTTTACAAATCCTCAGATTATGAAAATCTGTATGAGGACAGATGATTTCAGAAAACAAATTGGCATTGATCTACAATACTGTTAATGGGAATTTTACACAACTACTCTAAGAAGAAAAATGAAATTTAAAATAATACTGCACACAACCCAACTTATCAGGACTAAATTCTTGATTTTCTTTCAACAGTTTCTTGTGAGAGGCTTAGGACTGATTGGCCAGGCCACGTGGGGAACTATATAACCAAAAAATAGGCTTCATGTGGAGAGTTTTTGACCGCCTTAAAAACTACCACTTTAGCTCATCCAACCCCAATTAGCAGTTTAACTGAAGCTAGCAGTAGTATTTCTTGTGACATTTTTCTATTCAGATTTCTTAAAACTTCTCATGAGATTCCTCAATAAATTGAGTTTTTGAAAGTCAAGATTTACACACCACTCCCCCCAGATTTGTGTAGTATAACAATTACAGAAGACATGAGGCTGTATAAAGTATTTACCCAAAATTGATTTTGGGTCCCTGCTTTCTCACCAAATTTAAGCATTAAGCCCCAATTCCCTCTTCAAGGGGCCAAGCTTACAAGGTCTAGAGCACCCCACAAGAATTTGAAGTATTAATTTAGTTGATAAGTCTTGCCTATTGTATCACAACATTGGTCATCAGATAGTGACTTCTGTGAAGTTGGGAGAATAGATGCTTGAAGAAGCCGTGGCTATGCTGTTAGGAAAAAGTCCTGGGGTAACAGGTACAGACATGAGTAAAAGGCACAAGCCTCAAGTGGTTTGAAGAGCAACTAAAAAGAACAGACCTGTGCATAAAAGCAACAGGGATTGCAGGAAAAGATGAATAGGATGGCTGTAAGTAAAAGGTAAAGATAAGTTTCTTTCTGATCATGATTCATAAATACTAACCTGGTGTAACAGGTACAGACGTGAGTAGATGGCACAAGCCTCAAGTGCTTAAAAGAGCAAATAAAAAGGACAGACCTGACCACAACCTAAGTTATTAAAGAGGAAAGAAAGTGGTGAAATAAGTGAAACACTAAGACAAACCTGTGCATAAAAGCAAAAGGGATTCCAGGCAAAGATGAATAGGATGGTTGTAAGTAAAAGATAAAGATACTGTAAAAGTGATGTTGTAACCAATAAAACATATTTGTTAGGAGGATGAATCATAAGTTTAATTGAAAGAGAAAGACACTTACAGTTTATTTCTGATGAGGAAAGAAACTGAGTGGAACAATGAGTAGTATATATAAATATACAAGAACACAAAAACAAAAGACAAACATAGAAAGAAAATCTCAGGTCACATTTGACCTATTCCCAAAATAGATGAATCAAAACCAATAACCAAAACACCCTCCCCCAATCCGTACTCACAATGCCTTCATTTGTATCTTAAATGTCACACTTCTTTGTTTAATTTGATCTTCATTAATTACATACCAACACTGTGACCGGAAGTCCTTGACAAGTAAATTATTCCACTTAATAATAACTAAGTAGACTAAAATGTGGTATGTTAGATATCACAACAACTTCATCATGGTTTAGACGGCCAACCTAGTGCTAAAAAATTAGGAATAAGTCTTGCTAATTTCAAGATTCATCTTGGATGTGTCAAAATATGACCACTTGATACCATCTTAAATTACAACTTGCTGAATCCTAAATCTTGGAAATTTGGTCACCTGAATCTGTTGCAAACCGTTTATTTCCAGGTTTGGCTGTTGCAGATCTAAACCATCCTGAATATCCTGAGATCACTTGATTTCCTTTCAATTGTGGATATAAATCTGGTTTGATTGATCTTTCTTCTTTACAAACTATTAATGATTTTGATAAAAGTGTGGTTTGTTTGTAAGCTGCATGTGGTTGATTCAAATTTGAATTTGAGGTTGTGGTTGTGGTTGCTGTTCTTGAAAGTAATGAAGTAGATTGAGAATGACCATTTGACAAAACAAAAAATCAAGTAGAAGAAATCAATTTCAATCAAAAGTTCAACATTTTTAATGATAAAATGTTTATACCTCTGATTTGGAGTGGGACTATTCCTGACAATCTGATTGGTTTTTAAATGGCTCTAGATGGACCAGCTGGAGTAGTTTGTTGATCTAAACCTGCCAAAGGAAGTGTTGGTCAATCTCAATATTCATCACAAGTCTTGGTTGCTAACCTGAATCAAATACTATTAAAATCATTAAATAAGATTGGAATGCTTAGATTTTTGATAGATCAAAAGATGAATTAGTTTACCTTCTGTCTATATCATTAAGTTGAATCAATTTTTATTGACATATCATGAGTTCTTTTAAGTGAATTGGCAGTTTGTTTGTTGATTGTAGTTGAACTCATTCTTGATTTGAATATTAACCTTTGAAGTGGTTTTCAATTTGAGCATGTGAATGCTTGATGTTGAAACTTGTAATAGTATGTGTGGTTGGCGTTTGTATTTTTTGATCAAGTGATATTTTATTTACCTACAGTTTAAATGTGATCAAACTTCAGTTTCAAGTTTTGATTTTGGTCCACAATTGATCAACTGTTTTCTGACTTCATACCTTGATTGATTTGGCTTTTGATAAGCCAAGATGCTTCCAACTGGTGTTAAAAAGAATTCAACTCTGAATTCAATCAGAACCAAGGCTTGGACCAATCCCTTCAACTCCACAAAAACATCCAAAATCATCTACACCTATTATTCAATGCAACACAAAAGTTATGCACTTGACAGTGAGGCAATAAAGTGGCAAATGCAGCTGCTATGCAAATATGTACTAGAGGATGTTGTTCTTGCACAGATTAAATCTAACTTCATTGTAGGTTAGTAATCATTATTCTGATTATCCTTCACATAACTAACTAAGATTTATCTTAGAAACACATGGAGATGTCTACCCAAAACATCTTCATGGTACTAATTTGAATCAGCAAGCTCATACCAACATACAACTTTTACATTAAAATTGTGAAGATATAGAAGTCATAGTTGTGCCCAAATAATTATGCTTGTGAACTCTTTTACTGAAAGTTAATCTATAATTCCAGCGGAAAACTTACAGGCAGAAACTACGTGGGATAATGCATTGTCTAGAATGGTGAACTTTTGTATATTGTCTTTTCAAGATGGTTAGTACAAGGGTTGTAATCCAGTTTACATGGTATATGCATTGTTATGTATGAAAATTACTTCTTTGGCTATTTGAAACAATTACAACTTAACATTTCTTGTGGATTTACAATACTAGCTGAGTGGAGATTCTTGACTTGAGTGTAAACACCATAAGACTAGGCCAAAAATAGGTGTTAAGATTTGTTGTGAGGGTATAGATACAATTGAGCACAGTTTGTATATTAACATTTGGGAATCAATGCACATTGGTTTGTGGACTGCAGCCTTCGGATATTTGAGGCGGTTTGTGATTGGCCTATTGCAGGCATGGCTGCATGGTCTCTAGTAGACCAAAATATCACACCAGAGTTGTGTAATGTCTCTCAATGTGGAAACCAACTCTTTTTCACCCAGAATTCATCAACTTGCTTTCCTGCAAGTACCATATTGTGATCCACAGGCAGTCAATGGTGGGACACAAACAGAGACAAATAGCACATCCGTCATGCAACAAACCAAAAGGAGTGGCTTCAACCAAAGAACCCAACCATAAATAACACATCCCCTCTTAGCCACATGCAATATTATTGGAAGACTCAAAATGCAAAATTTAAAGGGTATTAAGTAATATCATCCAGTAAAAAGTTGATTAATCATTAGACATTTAATGAGCCTGGATTTATCATCAACCTGGAAATCTATGTGAGCACATCAGACACACGGTCACCCATACAAACAAGAAAGAAAGATGAAGTTATGGGTACTCACAAAGGGCCATACCATATAATGGGCCTGAACATTCCCTTCTTATCCCTCCCGGCCCTCTGACTGTGCTCAAGATTGCTCACCACAAGACTCTTTTCAAGGCAAAATGTTGAAGGAGGAGTTTTACAGAAAGCATAGTAGATCTTTTGTGGAAACAGATTGCAGTTGTATCTCACCTCTATGATCACTGATCACTTGCATATACTGGTGGTCATCCAGGTGCTTTGTGGAAAGAATAAAAATAACAATATTAATTGCTTTCTTATCAAATATTTTGCAAACAAGACTAATCATCAAAGGAACTGTTACAAAATTTCATTTTTCATTTTACGCATCGTCACAATCTTCTTCATCCAAGGTCGAGTTCGAAACAGTTGCTTTGGTACCAGTAGCGGCCGTAGGCACGGTTGAGTTTTCAGGGGTGGTAGAGTTAAAATCAATGGTGGTGTTGGAAAAAGTGACGCCGGAAGTGTTAGATGATGTCACGTTTGAACCTACCTTCAGGGGGGCAGTTGTATTTTTTACGGAAGAGGTTGAATTTTCAGCACTGTCGGGTGGAAGAGTAGCATTTGTGAAAGTGGAGTTACAGTCCTCGATGGTGTCGGAAAAGGTAGCGCCGGTGGTGTCAGAAGAAGTGACGTTAGGACTTGCTTCAAGGGGAGCAGTGGTGTTCGTATTGCCAGAGGTGGGGTCTTCAGGAGCTCCGGATAATAGAGTCGCATTTGTGAAAGTAGAAGTAGCAAAGTCGTCATCCGCAAACTCATCAGGGTGAGAATCAGTGTGAGTTGCGTTGGCGTTCGAAGTTGCGTTGGCGTTGGGGGTGGCATCAGAAGCGCCAATGGGCCCACCATCCATTGAAGCAGCAGGAGCACTGGATGAAGTCGAGTTGCCGCCAGCGGAAGACTCGGTTCCATCTCCTTTCACACCGCCTTTCACACCGGTATTAGCGATTCGGGTAGCAGCGTCCTCGGGTGTTGCTATCAAAAGGGAAAAAATGGTCAGCAGTCAAGACTTTCGAATAAAAGACATGAGTATTTTGCGGAGAAGAGACTTACTGCAAGTAGGAACAGATCCAGGCTTCAGTAACAAGGCTGCATATTCAACAAAAAAAGGAATTCAACATGTCAGCTAACTGTAGATGGAAAAATAGTCATGATTGGTTGAAAACTCACGTAATTCAAAACAGACAGTAGGCGGGGAACAATCAAGGCTCACATATTTGCCTGCGACACATTGAGCAAATCCACCTTGAAGACAAGCATGATCGCCTTCTTGGCAAGAGGATTGTAATGTCATTGTCGCATATTTGGCATTGAGACCTTGAGCCAGTTTTCCATTGTTGAGTAGAACATCAGCTGAGATTGCTCGTCGTTGATTATTCTTTGGACGTGCAGGCACAAGGAGAGGTCTAGCAGGCAAAGTGATGACACTGGTGACGACCATAGCAGCCAAAATGACAAAAGATTTGTTAGTGTGCATGATGATTGAAGGGCTCTAGAACAGTATTTGAGAGAATTTGGTAGTTATAGTGTAAGCGTTTATCGGTTTAATTCGTTTCTGTGTGCGATGATGCGATGAAGTGTGGAGGTGGATGAGGATACTTGATCCTGGAAGGGCTTTGAGGTCGATATTTATATATATTTTTTCATTTGTAGCGGCCGATGCAGAGCTGAGTGGAGCATTTGAAAAGCAATCGATCCCTGATGGTTGAATTCATTCCGATAGTTGGGGTTACTTATGAAGCAACAAGGGCCAAAATGTGCATTTTTTGATCGATAGCTCTGTCGGATAGGCATAAGCAGATTTCAAGTCAGCTTTTCTTTGCTGATCAAGCTGTTGAGAGGGTATCAAAAGTACCTCGCAGGGTAATAGGAGAACAAAGGTCGGTCTTGTGAATGTAACGCGTCACTCTGGTCAACAACAGTCTATCAAAAAGGACAAGGTGCATTTTTCTGATGTCAATGGTCACCCACTTTCTCATTACCTAGTAAAGAATGCGACCAGAACTGATTCCATTGTAAATCATTGAATAGTTTTTAGTCTCAAGGAGTTTCTCAATGCAAATCCAAATTCTCTGAGACTGGCGGATAGATTGGGATTTTAGACCTACAAATCCCTGCACTTATCTTGAGCAGTGTGCTCTTTGATTTCGTTCCAATAGTTTGTCTTTACTATGCCATCGCACTGAAGTTTCTCCATCAGGAATAAAGTATGATAGAATTGGAGTGCATGTTCTGTTGCCCAGTCAAAATGATGGAAGGAGAGAGGATGAAGCATCCTGCAGGGAGTCTATAGCCAAGTGGTGTTATGAGCTGTGTTGTTTGTGTTTGGGCTATGGTCATCTAGATCAAGTCTGACATGCTCAAGATTTAGTTCATTACTTTGAAGTATGCGTCCACCGAATCACACTTCTTCTAGATTTTTGGTCCTTGTCGTAGTTTATGTGGTCGTCCTTGATTGAAAAAGCTAGTAGGGTGTTAATGTTTGTTTTTTGGAAATAAATTTGAGTCACCATACTTAACAAAACGCAAAATGCAGCACCGAAGACGGTTCACAGTTTTCGACAAGAAAAGTTCAATGTTGAAAAGGATAGCGCTAATTTGGAAAGTGACTTTCATTGTATTTCAAGTTTTTGGTGCACCAGCACTCCTAATGAGGCTATGCTCATCTCCTGGACCTCCACCCACATCAGCCAGAGCCCATGACACCAGTACCGGCCAATCTTCTTGTGTGGGTGCCTTTATAGCCCCGCATGACTTATCCTTTACACCAAAGGCCAAAATCGCTACTGCAATCAGGATATCCGCAGTGAGACCAGTGATGGATGACGGCATTGAGTCGTGGTAGAATGAATGCCACCTGTAAAGCTTCGAATTCATCCACGGCACGTCCCGGTAAGTGTACACGACGTTACGGGTTACGAGATCAGGTTGATCTTGGAGGTTCAGCAGCGTCATATCCTTCAATGGCCAATGAAAGATCTCGGCAACCTCGTCCTCGTTGGCAGCCAGTCCTAGTAAAAAACCGGGTGCCGGGATAAGGAGCACATAAACAACTGGGTAGACAATGAGTAGATTCCGTGAAACGAAGGGGCTAAGAACACCCAAAAAACCGTATTGCTCCATGTTGATCAACGGCAAGCCAATCTCCTCGCTAGACTCTCGAAGCTTCCGTACCATGTTGATATCAGCTTCACGTTTGGGATCATGGGTATGGATACAATGATCTCTCATGCGAAATAAATAAACACTTTGCTTATATACTTACAGCAGTCGCTACGACAGATTCGTCCAAATCTTCTATTCGACCACCTGTGGCAAGGTTCATTTCGAGTACGGAGATGAGGTTGATTTTGTGGACTCTTTTGAGGCGGTTTGAGTTGCAAAAGGGTCAAGTAATTACCTGGTAAAGCCGTATCCCCTAAGCATAGAAAACGAACGTAAGCCCCCATTCAACTCATTCAAATGTGGATGTAGTGACCATATCCTGACCTGGATGAGACCTTAAGCGGCTAGAGCGAGTGGTCAAGGTCACTGACAACCCACCCAGGGAATTGACATGAAGCAAAACTAACACAGCTGCGACTCGTCTTCGCGGCATCATCCTGTGGTGGATCGTAGAGATGAGAACAATCCATGAAATTTGGAAAGAAGGCTGATAGAGCTCCTTGCACAACTTCCGAACCCTTGATTAAAAGTATGCCTTGAAAGTAACATACGTCAAATCCACAGGAGTCTTGGGTAACCTAGAAAGTCGCTCAAGCGCTTCCACGGTCTCGCGGGTCGGCGGAGGCCTGATGCTGGATAAATCTAAGCCTCCATTCGGTTGATGGCATAGCTTAAAGTAAAGCAGTAAGTCCAAAAGGTTAAGGACTGCTACTGCATATATGAAGAAACAATCATATATTCCTGCTGACGCACATCCTCGCCAAAAGGTTCTCCTGATCGTTCCTGCAACATTTCTTCTAGGTCGAGGGGATCAGATGCCATAGAGCGATATTTTGTAACTTATTGGTGGAGAAAGATTTGTAAGGCGGTTAAATGGATCCAAGGGAAGAGCTGGGCTGACGTCAGAGTTTAATAATCACAAAATACCCGGTGGCTCTGATGTATCGCTCGGGCTTCTGTACCGATCCACCGTGGGCAAAAGCCCGTCGCAACCACGGTTGCGACAGTCTGTCGCTGTATTGACCCCGGGTTGTTACATACACCACGGGAGGGTCTTTACCGGCTTTTGCGCTGCGACATGAGCTTCGGGTTTGCGACATCTGTCAATCGCACCACTTCAAACCAAATTCATCCACGATATCGTAGGCTATTTGATTTTTGGACCCATCAGGACCCAACAGGGGTCTTGTTCAATTCTCCGAAATGTCAGAAATCTTTCATCTGGCTGATCCAGGCTGATCCAGGCTAATTATCCTCCTTTGTCTTCTCAGTCACACGTTTGAACCGGACCAGACTAGCCCCTGAAGGTTGGGTTCAATGATCATCTGCCATTTGACAAGATCCTGAACATACGCTGAGCAATGTCAAACCCCCTTTCTTTCACCAGGCAACAAAGGATACCAAGCCGGATTGGGAATAAGCTGTGTATTACCTCATCAAATCTACCAAAAACCCTTGGCCATGGCGAGTATAAAGAGGCCAATACTTTGGCACCAGAGATTTCGTCAACCCACATCTTTCTAAGCTTCTATTATTCTTTTACTACATCACATCACAAATTCTAAAGCTTTGATTTAATTCTATCTAGTGCTTTTTTTATCATGCAAGCCCAAGAAAACCAGACTGGAAACATGGAAGCTGAAGACGAGATTCAAAACACCCAAGACGCTTCCGCACCCGTCACCAATGCAGCTGTAGCAGCCCTTGTCTCCGATAGCCTGAAGCAACAAGCTGCCCAGTTCGAAGCCATCATCAATGGCCTCCGAACCCAACTCAACGACTTCAAAGATCTCGGGAACCAATCTGGGCGTAAACAGAATGCCACCCCCAAATCAGCCACTCCCAAATCAACTCCAGACACCTCCTCTACTCGTAACCGCATGAAACCCACACCTTCATCATCTCGGAATTCTTATTCAACACCTACGCCATCGAGCAAAGCTCCTCGAAAGTCTAAAACTCCTTCTACACCTAATGAGGCTCCAGCACCTTCACCTTCACGTAAACGCCACCCACTTCAGCTGATAGGATCAGAAACTCCTGCGGATTACAAAACGACAAGGGTATGTTGCATCAATTTTGTTTGATTTGTTCCAAAAAACTTACTAACTTACCGTCCTAATGATTTGAATAACAGGACGCCTTATACATTCACATCAAGATGCTCTGGGGTTTATTCAAAGCCCACGATGTTCCCCCTCCGCCCGATCCCAGCCTCTTGAAGGAACTTTATGCTCGCTTCAGTTCTGCCGAACAGGTCGAGGCTGCCATCACCGACCCTCACAGTTGCGACTTGGTGGCTCAAAATGACATACTCACTTTGAGGTCATTGAAAGCCGGTGGTGGAAAAATAGGCCGAGGTATGGCCAATCTAGATGAAACTTACATACTTTACATTCATGGGGTCTTGGCAAAAGTGGGTATTCGTGTTTGGTGTCCCGACCTCAATGATTCCGTCGATTCGCTTTACAATTCAGCTTGCCGAATTACTGCGCTTGGTACTTTTCGCCAACTTATGGCAACCGGAGCTTACGACCATGCCAATGTCAATCCGAACTACGTCAATGCTATGTCTCGCTTCATCACTACCTACAACCATTATGTCCATTATCTCGTTGCAAACAGATCCAAGATCGAGGCGAAGGAAGCTGGAAAATCTCAAGCAGACGGTGCGAGAAAGTGTATTCAGAAACGTAGAGAACAGGTGAGTACATTGTCTAGATATCCCACTGGTCTACCTCGTTGAACTAACTGTTGTGCATCAATGTTGTAGCTTTGTGAACTTCGAATGTCATTCCTCAATGGACCGAATCGAAAGAGTTTTCCTCCGCGCTACCGAAAGATTTGTGAGAAAGTCCTTGCACACAGCGACGATGAGGAGGTCCCTGGTAAACCCTACCTTGTCATCAAGACTCTGCCTTACCGATCGAAAAATGCTAGTAAATTCTTCAGAAGACTCGACATTGAGATGAAGAAAGCGGCCGAAATTGCGGGAGAAACTTTTCATAAGAAGCCACGTCGTTTGCCCTCCAAACCAGTCCCTTCCATTTTCAAAAAGGCGCCAAAAAACTTACCGATTGACTTCTACGACCCCAAGTGGTATCACTCGCTTCACCCAGGTCAACAACGCCTGGTGGCCAAACAAGATCAAGTGGCTTTGTTGCCTGATGCAGCTGAGTCTCTCTGTCCACAACGCCATCCTGACGAAAAACTTGGAGATGCCGCGTTCAATGACAAGTATTTAGACATCTTATCTATCCCATATGTGCCAGATGATGATCATGAGGATGAAGCTGATTATGTGGGTGATGATGATGTTGATCTGGGTGATGATGAGGATTTGGAAGACGAAAATATGGACTCTGATGACGAATCGGATTTTCTTTCTGATGGTGATTTTGGCAATTTGTATGACGATGATGAAGACGCTGCTTGAGGACAGATATGAGTTCTGTTTGTTGTTGACTGTATTTTCTTGAATCTCCTCAGTTTGTGCGTTATGAATCTTGTTCAGTTTTTAATTTGCGAAGTCGTTTTTTTTCAATTTGTTCTTGTCTCTCTTTTTCAATTTGCGAAATCGTTGTGTGGCAAAACATGTGCAGAACTTTCTTTTTTCAATTTGAAACGTAGTTATGTGGCTCAAATTGGTCTGGTCAATCGATGAACACTCACAATTAAATTGAGTAACAGCGTGTGAATGTCATTTCACAAGAATTAGCCTTACTGACTAAGTACAAAACAAGAAGTATTACAAAATGAAAAGAAATAGAAATAGTGTCACAAATCTGCGTATTGTGATCTCTTGTCACAGGGACGCAAAACAATTCCTCCTTCTGCAATACCAAAAGTATTGTTTGGTAAAAGCCTGTACGCAGCAACAACCGAAACTTGGGCTGGAGATATAAAGATGGCAGTGTCTTTAGTTTGACCTATGACACATTTGAGTAGATGTACAATGTATCGGAAGTGTTTGGAGGGAGACGTTCGATCTTTGAAAAATATATCTTCAATTGGATTGGCAAGAAATCTTGCTTCGTGACCACCTGTCGGATTCTGGATGATATAGATCTGCCGTATCATAGCGTAATGTGATTTTCCATCCTTTCTGTACTTGATCACGTTGTTTGGTTTGAGAACCGAGACAGACACATGTTCGGATACCTTCCAACTTGATTTAGTCACTACTTGAGGACGGAGAACTTGCGAGTTTGGTGGATGAGGAAGGTGGCGATGATGGCGAACATGGGGAGAAGTTAGCCGCATCTCTGCAAGTAACCTATCATAATCTTCATCCCGCAGTACTATCCGCTTTCCAGTGAACAATGAGCCTGGACGCTTTGAATCGGATGTCAGAAGGTCGTCAATTGGATGATTTGCAGTGAGTCTTTGTAGCTGTCCAAATCGACGCATCATGGTTTTGTCCATTTCGGCTGAGACAAATCCAAACACGTGGTTAGCCAACTTTATCGAACAGATAAGTAAGTGGAGACACAAACTCACCTAAGTGTGTGTTTGTCTCGATGTTTTGCAATGTACCAATTAATCGCTCACCAGCAAACTCAGCAATTTGATTTAAAGGTCCCCAGCGCCTAAGCATTTCAGGAATATGAAGAGCATAATGGTGGTTTAGAACGACTACAAGGTCTTTAAAAATCTTAACCGAATTTTCGTGATATCTCTTGTAGAAGAACTCAAACGCCTCTGCATCCTTTTTTGCAACTGATTTTGCACAGACAATATACGTGCATTGGCACAAATTGGCAATGTTAAGCAAAATCCGACCTCGATTTGAATCCACCGGAATGTTTTCAATGTCAAAAACAAAGATATCAAGTATGATCAGCGGGATGACGTAGGCAAACAAGCTATGCCATTGAGCCGCTTTCAGTTTGCCATGCTTAGATTCGCCCAAGTTAGGAGGTAATTGTGTGATGCCGCTTGGTAATACAATGTCTTTCATAAGTTTTCGAAATGATGTTATGTTTCCTTCTGAAAAAAGACCACCATTCCATCCGGCATGGAGTTCTTCATCTTCTTCATAACCAAATTCTCCATCATCCGAGTCGTTATAATCTACTTGATCACATACATTCCCCATGCCCTCTTCATAGACCATTCGCTGTGCTGGTCGGTCCAAGAATTCTATCGCTGATCTTCTACGTTTTGCCTTGGCTCTGTCGTCCCTGTTGGGGGATACAAAACCCCATCGGAATCGAAAATGTTGGTGTAAGACACCTTCATACCAGTTGTGCATCATTCCCAGGGGGAGATCAAGCACGGGATCGCGGTAAAGAAGCCGATTAAATTCGGACCAGCGGACACCGGTGTTCTTGAGTATCTCGGTTTTTTCATTTAAAGTCGTCGCGCGTTTACTAGATTTTGAAATTTCAATCACTTCTTCTTTGACCCGTTGTTTTCCAAGCACCATTTTAGCCATGACATTTGAATGAATCGAACACCAACAGCAGAAGTAAAACGCAGCGTGGGATGCGAAACCTGCTACTTTGTGCATCCCAACTGTGTCACCCAGTAGAGTTAGCAGCTTCACACGTACAAGTCGGCCGTCAGGATAGCGGCTTGTTGATATCTTGATTCCTTTTTCGAGTTCCAGAAGTTCATCGACCGGGCCTTCAAGGACATGAGAAATGGTTGACATATCAGGAGCATTCGGACCGGGCGTAATACCAGCTACACATGTATTAGCAATCAAGTTCCTGTGTTTTGGGCTGAGGTTAAGGCAGTTGTACGAGAGGACCCCCAAAGATTTCTGTTTGCCAGATTGCCGGTTACCACGAGGATTAAACCAGTCAATGAATAGGGAGAACACGAGATTGAGGGCGGGCGTTTCAGCTGAATCTTCGCCAGGACCTTCAGGATTGGGCCAGTAAATTTCGTCAAAAGCTGGAGATTGTTGTATGTCCGATATTTCTTCTGAGCTTTTTGAATGTAAAATTTCCTGCTTCCAGGTCTCAATATGATCCTCAATCCAATCCTTCTTCAAAAGCCATCCAAGCCATGAAACCAGAGTTTGCGTGACATATACGCTTCGAGGAATTCCGATTTGAGATGGTGGCATTTGAGCTTGGTCTCTTTGTATCGGATGAGATTGACCCTTGTCGCTGATACCTCGATACATAGTCTTCAAGTTAAACAATTCTTCATTGCAAGTATTAGCTCTTGCAGTCTTCTTATAAGTACAAGTCCAAGGAGCTTCAGTAAGTCGATACAAGGTGAAGCATTTTGAACAGCAGACACGTTCGTGCAATTCCGGTGTGATATCCAATCGTTTGATTATTGTTCGAGCATCTTTAGGTACGAGTTCGTGTGGATCCCCAGTAATAATACCGTAGATTTCGCGGTCCTTTTTCTCCTCGTCGCGAGCAGCGGCTATGATTTCCAGGATAAAATTACGTGCTTTCTGGCAGTTGACACGACTGAGTCCACAATATACATGTAGCCATCCAAGAAAGATACATAGAATGGCAGCAGCTGATAGATCATAAGGTGCAATAGAATTTGAGATCAGTCGTTTTGCACACTGGAGAGAAGTGAAAAGACCTTCTTACTTGTCATCGAATCATCAGGAGCCCACTCTTGTGTGACGTGGTCAGGTTTAACCTCTGGTGTAGCTATCGTATTTGGCTCGTGGTCACTTTCAGATGATTTGTCAGTGTTCATCAATTTGAGGTCCTGCTTGTGGTGCTGCATTCGAATTTGACAAGATTTCCATTGGCCATGGACAGATTGACCATTCTCATCGGAGCAGGTCGATTTGATGCATTTTGAGCACGTACAAAGGAGCATGATTGATAAAGCTTCTTGATTTGGGCTGTTGTGTGAGTGACAGTATGACGAAATTGAATGAAAACGATAGGATATGACAGGATCTGGTGGATGAATTTGGTTTGAAGTGGTGCGGTTGACAGATGTCGCAAACCCAAAGCTCATGTCGCAGCGCAAAAGCCGGTGTCGCATGCCAAATATACATATGTAACAACCCGGGGTCAATACAGCGACAGACTGTCGCAACCGTGGTTGCGACGGGCTTTTGCCCACGGTGCGAGCATCATGTACGATTAAGGCTGCGACCCGGCCCTGGACCCGGGAGACCCGGACTGCCCGACCTCTTTACTTCGCGAGGCAGGGCTTTGGTTCTCTCTTAGCGTCATTGTTTGTAACGCCTTGATGAAACTTGTTTCGTATATAATGTTCTCTATTCTTCTCTAAACTTGTGTTTCTTCTCTATTGTCACAAACGTGTCTGATGAATTTGGTTTGAAGTGGTGCAGTTGACAGATGTCGCAAACCCGAAGCTCATGTCGCAGCGCAAAAGCCGGTGTCGCATGCCAAATATACATATGTAACAACCCGGGGTCAATACAGCGACAGACTGTCGCAACCGTGGTTGCGACGGGCTTTTGCCCACGGTGCGAGCATCATGTACGATTAAGGCTGCGACCCGGCCCTGGACCCGGGAGACCCGGACTGCCCGACCTCTTTACTTCGCGAGGCAGGGCTTTGGCCGAGGCTTCTGAAACCTACACCACGGGGGGACTCTGGGTCGTCAGGTGGTCCCATCATGGTCGAGGCGTCAAGCGACCTCTCCGCCGCCGCGGGTTCAGCCCGGGGCACGCCTGTGCCAGCAGGGAGGCGGTCAGCCCCCTGGGGCGCAGCGAACAGTATGCCCCGCCTAGAGCCAGACTGCACCTCGCCCCGGGCGCTTACCTCGGCGGTCCAGTGCTCACCACCCCATCTTTCAGTCTTGGTCCCGTCGAGGGGCCACTTCCTGCCTCTCCCTCGCCGCCTCTGCCTGCCTCAGAGACCCGTGCAATCGGAAGTGGCAGCCAGCGGACGCCACACAAAAGCAGATCACACGCAAGATACCGCTCGTAAGCCCTGTACGCATGCAAGATCAGCTCCACACAAAGCGAGAACATCTCATCTCATCCGTGAGCCCACTTCTGCTGAGGCAGGCAGCGGACGCCACACGAAAGCAGAACATCGGACGCAAGATACCGCTCGTAGTCTTCGAGACGAGATTCCATACGTGAGCCCACTGGTCTGCACTTCCCCAACAATCTGCCTGTGAGGGCGGACACCTCTTGAGATCTTGAGCCTTCTTTTGTAGAGCACTCCGTCATTTCTTTGTTTTTTGTCCGTCGATCTCCTATTCTCCCTGTTGGAAAAAAGGTTGTTTGTAACGTGTGTGCCCAGGCAACCGAGGGCTCACCTCCAATTTAATTTCATTGATCATCTGACTGTTCTAAAATACCGCATTACACCAATCGTGCGAGCCTTTTATTCTGTCGACCCCCAGTTTGCAATAATCACTGACATTGTCTAAGCGTTGCAGGTCAAACATATCACACCAGGCTTTACCGTTGACAATGACACAACCTTCCCAACCCAATTCATGTAAGTTCGCAGCTTCCGCTTGGAATCTGCGCCGCCATTGCCATTCATGGGAACTGATACACTCTCCACATGCTCCTCTAGATTTCGAGTTGATGTCCACAGACCCTTCCAATCCTCAGTGGAAATGCTTGGTTTGTGTACGGCACATGCGCACCTATGGCCCACATTCAAAATCCAAGGCTCACCTCGAAGCTGTTGCACAATACGAGGCTCGTCTAGCCGGGGACCACGAGATGATACCCGGGCTCAATGAAGACGGACACTCAGCGAACCACACAGCCACCCCTCAGGACAACCCAATTGGCCTGGAACTCGACGAGGATGGTCCTCGATCCGACACATCAGATAGGCCCCCATCACCTCTTCCATGCCTCCGTGCCTTTCGCCTGGCGGAGGCTAATCAGCCCAGCGATTCAGAAACCTCTAATGTGGACGAAATGGACCTCGAGAAACTTCTCCTGGCGATTAACGCCATGGACGCCGATGAGGGGGGACCACAAGATCCGGAAAGGGACGAGGCTCTTCTTGAGGCAGACTTGCGTAATACACCATTTCAGGAGTCTTCCGCTTGGTACCCTTTCAAGAAAAAAGAGGTTCGTTTTTCGGCGTTCCGCCAACCACCCGTGACCCTGCTGAATTTTGATAGTCACTGACACAACCCCACTTCATTATTAGCACGTGGTTGCTCTATTAATCATCGGATCCACCCGAAGCATTCTATCCCGATCTCAATATCACCGAATCCGTTCAATCTTGCATATATGCGACGTTAGCCTGCCGGAGTGGGGGGCTTTACGAGCGTTGAGTACCCGCCTGAAGAAGAACCTTGGCCTTCACGTCTCTGAAAGGACGAGCCCCCATGGTACGCCGCTTTTTGGCCTAAAGGTTCAGACCATTATCACCAATGTGCGTATTCCATTTTCACACCCGCACTGGCCTAAGTGGTCGATGTCTCAAATTTATTTATTTTAAAATCGCTTGGGATTTCAGGAACTCGCGAACCCATTAGTCAGCCCGTACCTGGTCTGTCTCCCAGAACTCCCAACCAATGAGCCCATTAACCGCTTATCCCAGTCGCAAAAATGGCGCGAGGGGTTTAGCATGGACTTACGAGTGCAAATGGTCCCCTCGCGCGGGAAACACTGGTATATCTATGAACCCGTCCAGCTCTTCTCACAGGAAGTTGTGGTTCCGATTTTTTTCTTCAAAAAAAACGGGCAAATGATGGCAAAATGTCTTCGAACAACTCTTCAACAGGAGTCGCACAACCCATCTGTTTTTAATATTAACATACCCGCTGAACAGTGTTTTGACTCTGAAGAGTTCGAAACAGTTGATGTCAAGAACTTTTGGAAGATGACCTCGGACATCAAATTACCAGACAGTTCGAGCATATCCACACATTGCCGGCCTTATTTATTTCGTAGGTGTCGTTTCATCTATGTGACTGTCCCTTAGCATAGTGCCCTGCTCTGACAAGATGTTTGCCACAGAGGACGAAGGAAATGGTGGCATCCGAAAAATTCCTATCGTCAATCCCTGGCGACTCAAAGCGAATGGACGCGAAATTAAGCACATCCCCATCACCTTGTATTCCGACGATACCTCCGGCAATGTTTCCAAAAAGTGGAACAAACATATGAGCGTTTTTTTTACACTTTCCGGTTTACCGCCGAAAATGACAAACCAGGAGTATCATATACATTTCCTGGCTACGTCCAACTGTGCGTCGGCGCTGGAATTGCTTGACGAGGTTGCCAACGATATTAAGTGAGCACCTCTTTCGCAACGTGCAACCATTCGACTGCCTAACCAGTGATGTGATTTTGTTCCCAGTGACCACAGTTCCAAAGGGTTTGTTGCATACGATCACGTCACTGGAGTTGAGGTGCTTGCAATGGTGGTCGTCTTGTTCCACCTTGGAGATGGCCCCATGCACGCCGAAATCACCGACACCACCAATCCGGCTGTGACATTGACGCCGTGTCGCATTTGTGATTTGCAAGTGGGACATATGAGTGAGAAAAAAAGCGAACAGTACGTTTCTGACTTCATTGGGGTAGATTTAGATGGGGATCAGGTTCGTACTTTTGGATTGGGGTGATTTAGTAATTAACATATTATTAAATGAATAACGTGAGTTACTTATGACATTATAAATATATATTTATTCATTGATCTCATTTCACGTTACCCAAACGCGATTGGGAGGCCACCCGCGCAAGAGCTTTGAAGATTTGGTCCCTCGCGCAAGAACCACACAGCAAAAGTGCCGTTGAGGCTGAAGCACGAAAACACGGTTTCCGTGACTCCGTTTTGGACTACTTCATCAAAGTGGTGAATGAAACGCACGACTCGAACCCCTCCGAAGCGCAGAGGCTATGCGCCGATCTAAACACCCAACTCGGACCTCGTCTATTCAACCCAATGTTGAGGCTGAGAGGTGAGCTTGTTTGTAATCTATTTTCGGCGCTGCTTGACAAAATGATTGTATTTTGATTCCCAGGTTTCAATGGTCACCAAGACACACCTGTCGAGACCCTCCATGTCGTCCTTTTGAGTATTGCGAAATACCTTTTCAAGGACACCATGAAATCTTTTGGCATCCTCAAGGCGGGCTCGAAACGTTATCGCGAATTGTCGGCAAAGTGGAGGAGTGTCAACACGAAGGGCTTAAACATTCCGCCCATTCAGCCCAACCTTCTGATCCAATTCTATCAGAGCCTGGTCGGCAAAGACTTTCAGACCGTCTTGCAGACGGTGCCGTTTGTTTTCTTTGATTTCATTCCTACTAACAAACGCCACTTGTGGATATCCTTATGTCTTCTATCTTCTTACGTCTTTCAACACGAAATCACTGTTATGGACAAATACCTGCGGGATATGGAGGAGGTCATTTTGATTTTTTTCAATCAGCTGGTAAAGAACTCAGCGCAGTGGGTAAATAAACCCAAATTTCATATGCTGTGCCATTTGAAAGACTCTGTCGAACGCTTTGGACCTGCCAATTTGTACATGACTGGGAAGTTCGAAGGTTACAACGGGGTATTGCGCACTGCATCTGTTCATTCAAACAGAATGAGCCCCGGCCGTGATATAGCTAACACATTCAACAATTATCAATTAATGAGGGCGCTTCTCTCCGGGAACACTTTTTTCGATAAAGAACTGCAAGCTCGAACTTCCGCCGGGCCTCAAGTTATATCCCTGCTGAAGACCAAGCCCGAACTATCCAAGGCTATGGGGCTAGACCCAAAATCCAATCAAGCGGCGGGGATCACTGCTGGACGTAAGTGCATTTGATTTCAATGGCACATTTGATCCATTCGATTAAATTTTTTTCCGGCAGCGCAAGTGAAGGACGCCAGGGAAGTACCTCCCTATTTAGCCGGTGAGGCGCCCTTAGCCTCTTGGATTGCGCTTGCCAGTGTGACTCTGGCGAATGAACAAAGGGTGGAAGATGCAGATTTTGTGAAGGTAAGTGGGATGACTTCCTTGCCTTGAGAAACCCCGTTGTGGTCAGGGCTAAATCAGAGATTCTCAAATTCAATGTTGGTCAGCTCAAAAACGAACTCAGTGTTAGCCAGGTCATCGGCATTTGGAAGCCGGACGGCGCATCGGCAAGCAAAACTGTCATTGAACTGCAAGAGACACAGAAAGGTCCGATCTCGACGTATTACGGGATGCGCGAAATCCTGAGGACCATGCGGCGCAGATGGGTGAAAGTCAAGGTAAGGCCTCTGTGTTTGTTTGGTTCGCGGATCACGTACATGCTAACATCCGCTGCCTAAAGGACATCGATTGTATTTTGAATGTCCAACATGACTGTCACCGTTCTGGGTGCTCTGTCACCGAAAGTGGGAAGAGACGGTTGGAAAGAAGGGAAACTTCGGCCAAAATCAGCACAATTGCCCATAAGCCAACCGAATTCTTCATCCTGAACAGCGCGAGTCACTACTCAGCCGAAACGCACCGAGCCGTTGCAAATCTGACCACTCGACCCATTGCTCCGGCGGAATGGTTGGCTACCTTCCGACAGGGATTAAAAATCTGGCGATCCGTTCCGGTCAATCCACGGAAAAAAAAGGGGTCTCAAGGCAAAGACAAGGAGCAAGAACGCCCCGGCGAAGGCGACAGTGAGGAATCAGAATGAGGTTTTTGGTTTACATCTCCCAAGAAAATCCCTGTGAATTTATCTTTTCACGAGCAATGTGAGGCAGTCGGTGTGATCTATGTTCTTTGTAAAATCTGCTCCCATTCTCTTTGATTGAATTTTGAGAAATGCAAGGAATCACAATTCCTTGGTGGTGCGCTGTTAAAGCTGTGACACATTCTTTAACCACTGACCGAAGATGTAAAGCATTCCTCATATTCCCACATTCCGTTCACTCATTCCTAATAAGGCAATGAGGCGCACACTTGCGCGTCAAACGTTAAGTTTGACGCGTCTGGCCACCAGGCGGAAAGACACAATGACCAATCAGGGATCGGCTGGGACCCCCTGGCTTCACAGGGGGATATATTTTATTTGCGCGCTTCAGATCAAATAAAAGGCACTCGCGGTGGTTATCTTCATTTCAGTCCCACATCCACAATCTTGAATTTCTATTCAAAACCTTTCTTCATCCCCATCTACTTCAATCAATACCAATGTCTTCTCAGCCCAATCGTGCACAACCGTACTCATTAACTACCCCAAGGGGTCAGAGTGAGTCTTTCTTTGCTTGCATCTGAACCGTTCTGAAAGCTGCCAATCTCAAAGTTTGCATGTTTAAGGAAACCCCGTTGTTGGCACCTCAGCGAACCGCTCTGAACAGAGATCAATCCGGGGTCAAGGCGCGATGAGACCGCCACTGGCTAATGACGGTGTATGTTATTATGATCTCTCTTCTCAAAGAGGATTATAATTGATGATCCTGTGTTGATGTTTCAGGCCCACGACCGCAGTGAAGGTTCGACGGAACTTCTCTTAGCTGCCATAACAACCTTAGGTGCGAAGGTTGAGCAAGAGATGTTGCTTATGTCTGATAACTTTCGTCAAGAACTCTCGACCGTTTCAGAGAAGATTGATGATGACATTGCGAGCTTGTCTAACAAGATCAATGGGGATATGAATGCAATGGCTGACAAGATCGATCAAAACCTCATCGCTTTATCCAACAAAGTCGATCAGGTCAATGACACCGTTGAAGAGAACGCTTCTCGTCTGCCTGCCGGTGCACCTCATGGCCCACCGGCCGCTGCCACGGGACGCGCAGTATCAATTGCCGCTTGGATGTACAGCCCTGAGCTCAAAGTAAGTGGGATTTATTCGAAATTGCAAACTTTAGCCTTCAAAATTTTCCCTTTGGAGTCCCTCTCATGTCTCATGTCTCACCTCTCACTATTCGTCTTTCCTTCTTTCAAACAGACCTACAACTATTGATAAGGCCAAGGTGTATGCTATTGCCTATGAATTGGTCGCACTCCCTACGATCACCGCATATACCGCTCTGGAAACTCCAGCTGGAGACTTGATCATGAACTCTCTGTTCAACACTATCAAGGTAAGAGGGCGGCTATTCACATCCTTTTCTAATCTAACCATTTGGCCTGCCTACAACAGAAAGCAGTTAGGGACATTCCAGGAACCTGGGCTGTTGATCAACTGCCCCCTGTCGTCAATGGAAGCCAGGACGTTGCAGCTACCCAAAAGTACGCGACCTTGGTCAAGGACGCTGGCAAACACGCTCGGGAGCGGTTACACATCTTGGTCAGCCATTCTAACACTCTCCAATGGCCATTATCTTTGGCTTATCAACCGTGTGCTACGCTACCCAGGTGTTGCACAACATTAAATACAATCCTGAAGCGACGGTTCCATGCCTCAAGAAGCTCCTCCACCGTGTCAGTATGACTCTTTACAAATTCCACAGGCTGCCTGACTGCTAATGTGTGATCTTGTAATATTTGTATGTAACCTCCTTGTAGATCGCGAGACAATGCGGTAATAGCGCTGACGGCCTTGACCACCAGGCTTATTGGGTCCGCACGCCTTTGGAACTACGCCTCCGCATCGCCTACCTGGTAAGTCACCAAGCATTTCATCCTTTGTTTGTAAGGGTGATTGCTGACAAGCTGAGGGTGTGTTTCACCAGCGACGCGAGGCTGTTAGAATATTCCAATCTCTTCGAAGCGGCGGAGGCGGAGGGAATATCTGGTCGCGGGTGGACCGACAGCTTCAATTTCTGGAAGAGCAAGGCCCGCTATACACTTCCGCGTAAGTCCCGTTCTTATTCACCAAAAGGTCTGTATATAGATGCACACTCATTTGGATGATATTTGGTTCTGCAGCTTTTACAAGATGATATACAATCAAGATCGTGCGACCTTTAATAGCAAAGGCCACTTCGCCAACATTGACATTGCGGAAACTTTTGATTTACCTTCGATGCATGAGGTCAGCGACGAAATGGACCGTTTGGAACAAGCAGGAGGGGTCATGGTTCTCGAAGACTAATTCAGCACGTGAATGTGGTTCTTGGGAATTGCAATTTGTACTGTTTCATTCCTGTCAAGCGAGATCTATTATGGGATCAATTGTCTGTCAAAGGCCTTACCACTTGTAGCCCTCTTCTGTGAAATGCACAGGCTTTCATGCCTACGGCTCAGCTGTCATAATTCCCATTGAACCGGCCTGACCGCACGGCTTTGGCCAACCAATGCCGTTTGGCAGCCCCATGATCGGGCCATTTGGAGTCATTTGCGCTACCATCCAAAAAACCCGATGACGGTCTTCAGGCCTTTTCCAGACGCTTTTGACCGCCAACATTCGGTGCAGCGGCGTTTCTGGAGCACAGGTGTGCCGCCTTTAAGTCTCTCGCAAATTCGCCCACGTGACGAATTCATGAGGTCACCATTTGGGCAAGCCCGAGACCGCCAGCCCCCGCGCAGGGAAGGGCCGTCCTTGGGCCGCCGGTCAAGGCCGTCCAGTGACAGTCGAGACCCCCCCGGGGTGTAATGATAATAGGGGCAAAAGCCTCGACCGGGGCAGGCCGGCCGAGGCCGGCCGAAGTGGCCGAGGCTGTGCAGTACTTGATACTGGAGTTTTGAGCTGCTGAGGCCCCGTTTTCAACTCTATTACCATGCCGGCCAATCGGAATTCAACGACGCCTCGTGATATCCAGGCCACCGAGGAGTCAGCTAGCTCAGCATCTACTTGCTGAGCAACTGGTATTGCTCCCCTCTCCCCCAAAAACACATACCGCGCCTCGAGGCAACCCGAGTGCTCTCTGAGGTGCCCTCGGGTCAGAGCAGGGCTTGGCCCTGTCTCGAGGCCGACCCGGGACGCACGTGTCCGGGTCACAGCCTTATGTACGATGTTCACTTCATAATGTCTGCTTGCCGCCACTCTTCCATAGTTATCAATTGAACATAGTCGCTCGATTTCAACTCCACTTTCTATTATGAGCTCTGCGGAGGATCATGCTCACGAACGAACGTACCCATCGGATGATGAAGATGACCAAACTCCAGAAGATCACAGTCAATTCGAAGAAGAGAAATTGAAATGGCTGGCCGAAATTTTCGAAGTGTGTTCCTTGTTTCATAGAAATTTCCATTCGGAACATTTTGGTCCTATGCACTCCCCCATCGACGCTTTCCTCCATGGTCTGGTTGCTTTCAGTCTGGTGGCAAGTTTTTCACCAACATCAATGCCCTCAATCGATCGATCGAGAGTGCAAACTTAGTCGGAACTCAATTTGAGACAGTTCACGATCTTTGGTCAAAGTTGAGCACGCAATAACTTCATCTCTGTATCAATGACAAAACCTTTGCGGAACAACCGCTATCGATAGAGATTCGAAATTCTCAGCTGTAATGAACGCAACGAAGTTGCTGCTCTTACTAGCTGAGACCTGGAAGATCACCAACACACCGTGAATCGCCTGTTTGACTCAAGCGCTTATTCTGTACATCATTCTGAATCTTTCGATCGGACGACAGATACGAACAAGCTGTCAGCAAGTCAGCCGCCCCTTCTGGTGATCTTCCACCGGGACAACCCTTCTTTAACTCGCCCGAGCTGGTCCCAGTTGGTTCTACTAGATCTAATCACACAAAAGCGGCATCATCAGACGATCAATCTAGTGACGAACTTCCGCCAGGAGTTGCACCGGGCGGTGGGCAGACAAAATGGTGATATGAACAGCAAGTGATCTATAATGGAGTCGTACGTCAACCATCGACCAAGCTCGAATTTGAGGTATATGACAAGACGATCTCGCTCACTGACAGCGTATCATCACTTGACTTCGATGATCAGCAACCAAGAGACCTATTCGGATTAATTGCAAATTTTGCTTACTCTCCTCTCGAACTGCCATATGTGACCAAGGTCATATTGGCGGCTCGGGATGAAAAAGCTTCCAGGGCGCGCTGTGACAAAAAAGTTTCGACATATAGTGCAGTCTGATGTAGCACGATCTGGTCTCTATAGTGTCATGAAATTCGCCGGAGAAGTTCAAGCTTATGTCACTACATCAGCTAAGACAAAATTACGAGATCTCTGTTTACTTCTAAACTTGACAATACTAGAGACTACGCGCGCATGCGCGCACCAGGAGAATGGACTCAAACTATGATGTATTGCCCAATTCACCATACGAGAAATGTCTTGACAATTATCCATAGTTTGTAGTGTTAACCTGTAATCGACTCAAGACCCTGTTTATTGCATTTCATTCCAACGCACAAAATAATCCACCAGCCATTATTACAAATAATTCCGTCTACGAATGTTCAATGTCGATGTTACCGTCATTATATAACTTTGTCGCACTCTTGGCATTACGTAAGTAGCCAATGATCTAGTAACCTCCCCACTCCAAACTTGACATGTCCGTCTCAAATCTTTGCTACAAGAGTAATTCACCCGAGTTTAAATCTAGCTGTTCAAAACTATTTCTGCTAGTCTTTTATTCAGATAACATTTCTGTCAGGTCTTGGACGCCATTCATACGATGGGAACTCAACATACTTCTAATGAAACATAATCTCGCCTTCATAATTCGGGCGAATTATTACCTTGATATTGTTCCAAGCATTGATTTTGATGTTAAATTTGTAACTTGTATTCCTTTGGTAGTTTGTGATAGTGCCTCTCTGGTATAATGGATATGGGCGTCCGCTCGCTTCTGAGAGTAACACAATTAGCCTAAAACTAACTTTGTAACAATAGCCAAACTCACCTTCAAGGAGATCCTTTATATGAGTTGAGCTATGACCCGGTCGTGAGTTGAATATTCACACAGTGGTTGTTCTACCCATTTGATCCAATGCCCTTCCAAATTGTATGTCTTGTATTCCATGATCACTATTCCTAATGTTATTATTCTATTGATAGACTGCAGATAGGTACTGGTGGGCTTATTTTAAATTGAAAGCTAGATTTTCAAGCTTCGTGTAGAATGAGTTTATGTAATGCAAAGTACGAATGACGCATATGAAGCTAACATTAAATTGGGAATTTCCGAAACCGTTAATGTAAATATCTGATGGTTTTTATGATTGCATGCGCCTTGTCCTACATCCCTGTAGGTACACCTCTTTAAAGTGCGAGCCTTTGTTTTGGTTCCAGGCGAATTAGTACTTGACATCCTTGATGTTGCAAACAATAGAGTAATGTTGAAGTGGTGAAAAAAGGGAGGGAACAATAAAATTGAACTTTGCAACTCCTGAACAGGGCGCAAGATGCAAAAAATTGATGAGCGATGGGTGAAAGTTGAGGGTTTGTAAAAATACGAGTGATATACATGTAGATGTTTGGAACAAAAATGTGTTGATTAAATATTGGTGGGGAATGGCTGAAACATTGACCATTAAATAGACAAATTGAAAAGCAACAAAGAAATATTGAAAGGCAAAAGCAAAAAGAGTATCATGTAATCCTACAAAAGACAATCAAAGCTGAAAAGACTTAGCGAGTAGATTCAACATACTAAATGAGGTCT